TAGCTTCTCGTGTGTGTGTGTGTGTGTGTGTGTGTGTGTGTGTGTGAGCGCAGCAGCAGCAGATCACTCCAGCAGCATGAAGAAGCTCACCTGTATGGCAGGCTGCTTTTACATATAATCGGCTTCACCACAGTTATGTTCCAGGTCCTGAATGATTTTATGACTACACAGCTTAGTTTTTTTTAGTGAGAGATACATACAATTCAACTAACACAATGTTAATCATAATTCTCTGTTCATCTTTCTGGTTTATCCAAGGCCAAAGATCCTGAAGGCCAAACTACAGGAGTTGTCCATCTGAGGGGCAGGTTGTAGTCTAAGACAAAACCATGTTTATAAAATGTTCGACCCTTAAAAATTTGCACTTAGAATTTATAAATTCTTTCATTTCATTTATCTTGATGTTAAGTTAAAATTTCAGGTCATAGAATCATTTTTAAATTACTTTTCTGTAAATTATATGTCTATGATTCTGGTTCAAATACAGAACTTTATTTTTGCTGGATTGTTGACAAATTATTTATGAGTTAATGTTGCCTTAGTGGACAATTAAATAAGTGAACCACTAAAACATCAATGTTAAATGTGATGTGTTTGCAAATTTGAGTGCACCTAACTTTTGTACTGGTGCACCTAAGGAAAAATGTTAGGCACACTGGTGCAACCAGTGCAAAAAGTTGGTCTAGAGCCATGCTAGGAGTGCAGAAAATTAAAATTTAGTCTCTCCTGGTGCTGTGGAGATATCTTCAGATTCTGTTTAGGTCATATTTTTCATCCCATTCAGTTTTCATTTTCTATGACGTTTTCTGAACTATTTCGTCAGTTTTTGCGACAGAACTTCTAAATAAGGTCTGGACTCACCAACTACAGTTTGGTGGTCTTTATTCTCTTCTGGCTCCGACATGAAAGGCTGGATGTTGCTGACAGCTTTTAATTCATTTGTAAAAAGAAAGTTTCTGTGCTGCCATATAGTCGTGAACCTCTCCATCAAACTGGAATAAACCGGTCTGGAAGCTGGACGGGGCATGAAGCACCTTGATTGGATTTAAAGAGACAGCCTCGAAACGAGTTGATCTGAGACACACCTCAGAAAAGGGGCAGGGCTTGTGGAGTTACAATGAGGAAGTCAGTTCCACTTTATAACTGAATGATTTAAATGTGAAAAAGAAGGATTTAAAAGCAGGATATGTTTTAGTATTTCTGATTATTCTGTTCTCCAGTACAGTTCTGTTGGACCACCTGATCTCTTTCTCTGTACAGGTGTTGATATTTTGGGGTGCATTTTATTTTACTTAATAAGGCAAATCCCACTATGATTGCAGGCCAGGCTTGGACCTGAAGGCAACATGTTGTTGTTTTTTTTGTCTGTGGGAGAAAATCCATACAAGCACAAGGAGAACATGCAAACTTCACACAGAAAGACCTGGGTGAGAAACGGGGATGGAACCCAGGACCTTCTTGCTGGAAGGTCTCAGTATTTCGAAGCCATCTCGTGAAGCACTGCATTTTTTTTAATCTTTTACTTCAAATTTGACAGATGTACAAAAATATAATAGAAAATAAACTGTTACAAAAATACATAAGCAACAAATATGTAACATGAATATAAAC